CAAGTTCGCGTATTTTATAAGGGTCTCTCTCCACACTCTCCTTTCTCAGGGATGGACTGTTAATTGCTTGTTACTTGCTGCTAGGTTCGTTGTGGGACCAGAAGATATTTTGGTTGTTCTGGGTCAGTCTTACCTTTAGCCAAGACCTGTGCACCCGGGCCTTGCTTATAGGGCATTTTCAGTGTTTCCGTCAATTCTTCTTGTACCAAGCAAACTCTGTCTTGGATCTGTGGCAGGCACTAGGCAGAAACATTTCTTGGCCCTCCCCTAGGGTAGCAGACTTCTGCTTTGTATTGGTGCAGCGCCCGGGGACATACTTGCTTTCTGTGTCCTGGAGAAGACAAGTTTGTGTCTGCCCTTACCCAAGAAAGGATGCAGTGGCAGGATGGGAAGTGGCATAGCCTGTCTTCAGAGGTAGGCAGAATTTGCTTCTATCTCTTCTGTGACCCTAGGTAATAGAGGATTTGCTGCCCTTTCCCAAGTGGCTTAAGATTTTTGCTTTTTGCAAGAGATGGCCTATGGAAGTATATGTTGTTTTGTGCCTGAATGCAAGGAGAAGCTATTCACCTTCTGAGTACCTGTACTACTGAAGGAAGATCTCTCTCATCTTCTGTTCTGCTCTTAATGTTTCTTGAGAGCACTGTTGGAGCCCAGTGGAGAAGAGCCGGTTTGTGAGTACGAACCACCCTATGTCTGGGCTCCTAGTTATTATAAATGTACAAACAAGCCCACATTTGGCCTTTAGGAATTTGTTAAAACTTTAGCTGATTATGAGTACTTACCTTCTTCTGGAGTGTCCCCCTATTTTTCTTGTGTTTTAGCAAAAGGGACATAATTTCCATGCCTTGTCTCTCCTTGGAGGGGTTTGCCTCTTATGGAAATTCAGTTCTTGTGGTTGCCTTATGACCTCAGCTCCCTGATGAGTTCAATAAAAGTTATGATCTTCTATATTATCTGGTTTTTGTTGTTGTCACTAGGAGGGGAACAACATTTTCTTGCAGCTTTGTATAACTTAAGTGGAAGCAGGATTTATATGGCTCATTTTCTTCACTCAGCCTCATATTTTTAAGATTCATTTATGTTATTACATGTAGCTACAGTTCACTTATTTCCCCTGACGTATAATATTCTATTATGTGAATATAGCACAATATATCCATTCTCCTGTAAATAGATATTTGGGTTGCTTCTAGTTATTTATTTTTATGATCGGCATTGTTTTGAATGCTCTTAGTTACATCTGTTGGTGCAGTTGTAAGTTCTGTAGCTTATATATCTAGGATAAGTTTAGTGTGATTGTAAGACATGTGTGGTGATGTTCAACCTTATAAAATAATGACTCTGATTTTTAATTCATGCCTCTACACCTGAGAAATAAAAACTACACGCATCACTTATAGTTAGTTATTCTCTTTCCTTTTTGTCATTACCTATGTCTACCCTTCCTTTCTTTTTAGGACCTCTTGGATACTAATTCCTTCCATTCTCTTTTTTTATAAATTTGGATCTTGGCTTTACCTGTGGCTTATGATTTGGCTCTTGTCTTGATGTTATTCATTTGCTTGATATTTGACTCTTGATATTTGATTCGTTTGACTCTTAGTGCTTCCAAAATATTTTGGCTGGGACTTGCTATAGTATAATAGCTTGTATTATGTTGGTAATATTCCTCATTTTATTCAGCCCTTCAGTTTCCCCATCAGCTCTGACTAATTGAGCCAGCCTCCTGAGTAGCTATTTACCCCTTGACCTACTGTGTGTGTGTGGTGGGGGGGAGAGAGGGAGAGAGATTGATTGATTATCTGGACACTTGAGGTTGAAATAACTGTCGATCATTATCCTGTAGGTAGACTTAATTTCACTTTAGAACTGGTTTACATAGTTAAGTAGTCATAATCCCAAGCCACATTTTTTTGTTTTGTTTTCAAGAATATTAAGAAACATAAGTCAAGATTTAGATACACAGTTCAGGACAAAGTAACCTATATTTTTTCCTCAAACTGTAGGCAGCTCAAAGAACTGGCTTCATAAGGCACAAATTAGATTTTCTTTTCCTTCTTTGGTCTCCTTGTAATGAATCTATGAGCCAGAATTAGCGTACTCATGGGAAGGCTTGTACTTGGGAAGGAAGTACTTGGGACATAACCCATAAGAACAAATTTAGGGAGATTCAGAGTTTATGCTTTTACTGTCAATTGTCTGGGAATCTATTTTATGCTAACAAATATAAAGAACTAGGTAGAATTTATAGGAGGAACTAAATAAAGATACTATTATTTTCTATATGCTATGATTTTTAATTTCCTTGGGGAAATAATTGATTCAAAGCAGCTATGGAGTGATAGAATTTTCTTCCCTTGATAGTTATAAAATTAGGAGAAAACATGGTCTGTGCTCTCAAGGAGATTACAATTTAACAAAGATTAGTATGCCAGCCAATGCCAATGGATGCATCAATAAACACGTGGTAGAAGCCAAATATAAATAAGTAAAGATACTCGGAAGTTATAACTCAGTGTTAAGAAATAGTTTGATCAGAATAGGTCAGGCAATGATATTTCAGAAATGAGCAGACTTATCAAAAAGAGAATGTGGCATAAATAAACATTTCCTTATCCAGAAGAATATTTTTAAAAATATGTATCTTTCCATAATGCAAAATTGTTGAAGTATTATACTGGATGCTTTTGGCGCCCTCCTGAAATCATTCTTACCAGGCAAGTTCTTCAGGTCTCTAGCCGTCCTAAGTGCTCACAGCTGCCCCTCCTACGGAGATTCATCTCAGCTTAGTGATCACAAAGAGTGGGTCCCCAAAAAGTAGCATTAATTTCACCTGTAGATTTGCTAGTCCTGCAGATTCTCAGACTTTACTCCAGAACTACTGAACCAGACACTCTAGGGGTAAGGCACAGAAATCTGTGGGGTTTTTTGAGCCCCATGTGACTCTGATTCACAGTGAAGTTTGTGGACTACTGTCCTGGTTGATGGGAACCACATTGTCTTAGAGGCTATGCACCGCCTAGCCCCACAGGTGATGACTGATTGATACACAGTACAAAAGGCCAAACTCCTTGCATTGGGGTGGGGCACACAACTCTGTGGTGTGATTTATACTCTGGATAAGCAGACAGCAAACCATGGTTCCTGGTCAAAATCCATCCGGCTGACATTTTTTTGTAAATAAAGTTTTATTGCAATAGAGCCAGGCTCATTTATTGTATTGTCTATGGCTGCTTACATGTCACAGTAGCAGGGTTAAGTGGTTGCAAAAGAGACTATCTAGCTCTTTACAGAAAAATACCGGTTGACTCTTATGATAGAGTCTTGCCTGTTCCCAGTGCATCAGGTCAACACTAGACTCACTTGACACCACGTCCTTGCTTGGTTCTCTCTCCTCCATTCTGCTTCCTTCTCTGCCATACAGACTGCATCCAAATGTGCCTCAGGCTCTGCTTCCTGACAGTGGGACTTGACAAGTATATTCACAAGCTTCTTTATTTTTTTTCTACTTTTTCTGTGTTTGCATTGGCTTTAAGGGAGCTGTGAAGTTTCCCTGACTCACTGTACTTGCTCAGTAGGCAGTTCCCTCCTCGTTGGCCTTTTGGATTGGTGATACTCTTCTCAGAAAGGGATGGTGTTTCTTACCATTGCAACCCCAACTTTCCTTTCTACCACTTCTCTAATAGAGTGTCAATGACTACCTGTAACAGTCTTTACTACCCTGGTTTAATGGTCATATATTATTATTGTATTTGTATTTACAATGTACAGAGAATGAAGAGCTTTCATGAAATCTCTCACCATAGGATATCTGATTTGGCCTGTGGCCAAGGACCTCTGGAAACACAATTAAAAGTAAAATGAAAATACCCTAATCACCAGTGATAGTAAAGTATGCACAGGGGTGGAGCTAAGATACTATTGTAATTTATTAAGTTAAAAATAAAATGGAGAAAATATGTTGTCTACAGTTTACTAAATGCTCTACTAAAGGAATTAAACTTATAGCACCTAGGCCTGCAGTGTATATCCTAAGTTGTACACCTTCTTAATAATGAAGTAGTACCATAATTTTTTCATTATAGTGATATTTTCATTGTGTGATACTTGCAGTTGATGCTAAAAAAAAATTCATGGTTTCTAATGAAATGTTTTAAAATATTTTCTTACAAGATGAAGTAGGACAAACACAAAAAAATGAAAAATATAATTGGTATCAAGAGTTGAAATAGCAAAAGTCATTTTCTGGCGGGATAAAGAGCTAGAATGAGATGAAAGCGAGAGAGACATTAATTAAATAGGATCGAGCATGATGCGGTTGCACTTTAATATTGGCTGAGGATTCAGGCTGGGATGAAGAGTGAAGAGACAGTTCTTGTCTGTGTTTAAAGACAGTAGATCATTTTATCAAATCTGTGACTACTCCTCAGAATACAGAAAAGGAATAGTTTCTCTATTCTTGGAAATACCTATCTGTAGGTCAGAGGACTACTGTGGGATTTCCAAATGTATGCTTTCATAATGCTTGCAAGAAGCTGTTTTATATATGGTAGAAGAATGATTTCTGTATCAGAATAGGAATTTTATGAACTAAAGTTTAATTTAGAATGCCATTTGTTGATAAACTTCAGTAAAGTATTTCACATTTGAGGGACTTTTTTCAAAGCCCTTTTCAGCTTTCCAGTTGATTAAAAATCATTGTTGGGTACTAACAGAATGAATAGTGGAGCACTGCAGATTTATAACTACATATTCACATCCAACCATTAGATTTTAATATAGTAACTCAAATCTTACAATGGTCAATATAATGGACTAATAGATAATAAAATATTACATTTGTATATCATTTTTAAATTGTTTCAAAGTACCTTCATGTCTTCAATTTTACCTATACAACATTACTGAAAGGGGGAATAGGTATTTACTTAATTAATTAACTTAATAATCCAACTCACAATAAGCTTAATACAAAAATTAATGTTTATTCCTTCCCCAAGATGGCAGCAGCTGAAGAAGACAAATCACTGCTACCCCGGCTGCCTGAGCTGTTCGAAACCATCCAACAACTTCTGGATGAAGTGGAAGAAGCAGCTGAACCCACAGCTTCCCGGATAATCCAAGACAAGGTGTTGAAGGGGCTAGACCTGCTTAAGACAACCGCTGAAATGTTATCACAGCTTGACTTATTCGGCCAAAATGAAGATTTGGAAGAGATTGCTTCCACCGACCTCAAGTACCTTATGGTGCCAGCATTTCAAGGTGCGCTCACCATGAAACAAGTCAACCCCAGCAAACGTCTAGATCATTTGCAGTGGGCTCGAGAACACTTTTTAAACTATTTAACTCAGTGCCAATACTATCATGTGGCAGAGTTTGAGTTGCCCCAAACCAAGAACAACTCAGCTGAAAATAACACTGCTAGTTCCTCCATGGCCTACCCTAGCCTCATTCCTATGGCGTCTCAAAGGCAGGCTAAAATAGAGAGATACAGAGAGAAGAAGGAGGCAGAGCGTAGGTTGTCTGCAATGAGATCTGCTATGGAAAGTAGTCAAGTAGATGACGAGCATGTTCGTGAATATTACCTCCTTGACCTCAGAAGGTGGGTTTGTATCAGCTTAGAAGAGATAGAGAGCATTGACCAGGAGATAAAGATCCTGAGAGAAAAAGACTCTTCACAAGAGGCATTGACTTCTCACTCATCTCTTCAGGACAGGCCTCCAGTGAAACCCTTCACTCTCACTCGGAATGCAACCCAAGCCAAAGTATTTGGAGCTGGTTATCCAAGCTTGGCATCCCTTACGGTGAATGACTGGTATGATCAGCATTGGAAATGTGGGGCATTGCCAGATCAGGGAATAGCCAAGACAGCACCAGAGGTCAAAAGCTCAGCTCAGGAACAGGAAGATCAGGAACAAGAGGATGAGGATGATGAACAAACATTCCACCAAGCTCAACAGCAGGATGACTGGAAGGACACCCATCCTAGGGGCTACGGCAACCGACAGAACATGGGTTAGTCTTCCCACAAGACAGGCCTATGGGACTATAGAGGGGCACATCTTCGCTGTAAAGGAAAGCTGTGCTGTCTCCCCCTACCTGGATTCCTGCTTCAGCTCTGTACCCCAAAGGCAAACATGCTTAATCTCACTTTGAGTTCAATAAAGTGTCAAGCAATTAAGTGTGTGTTTGTACTCTAGATGATGAACCAGCAATCTTGTTTTGGCATTATGCTCATCATGATGTATTCCAGTGGAAAGAAATGAGTACTGAGAAATGGCTATATATAATCAATGGCTAAGTGAATTCTCCTTAAAAAATAATAAAAATCCCTTCTATTACATGATGAGCCTATGCAAAAAAATAAAAGTAAATAAAGTAAAATTTAATGTTTAATAGATATGCAGTAGTCATAGATAGGAGCATGTGCTTTGGACCAAACCAGAAAAGGTCTGGGTTCAAATATCAGCTCTGACTTTTACTGTCTTTGTAGCATAGATTATGTTATTTGACAAACCTGAACTTCATCTTTAAAACAGAAGATGCTGTTACTGAATAACATCTAAGGTTATATATGTGAACTACTTGGTAAAAATTCAGTGGTTCCTTTTATTCTTAATCTCAGCTATAGGCCTCTAAAATTAGAAAAAGATAAAAAGCAACCTCCAAGTTAAACATAATGTAAAAAATGGGCTTTTGATGACTAGAGTAGAAGAAATGCTACCAAAAAAAGAAAACAAAAAAACCCAAAGTTGGTAGTGACAGAAACCTTAGCGAGCTCATTTTTAATAGGTATATGAATTTAGCTCGTGAGTTTCCTGACATCTGAAAGTCCATCTCATTAGTTACCTAATGTTCACTACAGACAAATGAAAGCATTCAGATTTACAGATAGAAACAAACCTTTACTTGGAATCAAGTTAAATGATGTGAATTTCTGTGGGCCTTTTAAAAACTGGTATTTACAAGCATAACAGACACTGCCTGGTTACAGCTTTACAAAAACAACAGAAATACTGATGAGACAGTTTCCATATCAAGCCTCAGTTTGCTTAGGGCAAAACTTTGAATCATCCATCAGTGAAGGCATTTCTATGGAGAACTGAAATAATTTGGTCCAAGTACATTTCTTCTTGATGATTTAACTTAAAACGTGGCAAGCTTGGAGAATCTAGGAGAAAGGGTATTTGGCATGTCCATTGGACTGTCTTTTTCAAACATCAGATGTCTGAAGCCAGCCCTTGGCAGGTGCTGGCTCACAGACAATTCATGATTGAACTCTCTTAACAACTACCCATGGTGCAGCTATTCTATGCTACTGGCTAATGTGAAAGCCATATGCTTTAGACACCAGACATGAGGGAGGCAGAGTTCTCATTATGTTATAAAAGTTAAGAGCTCTCCTTACATTTTTGCCAACTCAGAGGGCTAACCCACTTTAGTAGAGGCTTAGGGAGCAAGGGTATTTATAGGTGAAGTTTCTATTTCCCTTCCAGAAGAGCTTTGACTTTTTTCAAGTGCTTACAAGAAATCCTTGGTTCTGTTTCCCAAGTTCTGTCCCTTAAAACATACAAAAGACAAGTATCACCTTCATGTTACAGAAGTAAATTATCTTCACTAATGCCACAATTAATAGCATATACTAAGACTTTTATTCTCTGATTCCCTGGACCAGAGTGGTTTACAGTAAGTAGTATGCACAGCCTAAGCTGCTGCAACAACCCAGTCATGATTCTACTTTAGCATATTGCTTCTGACAGTCCTTCTGGTTCAATCCATTTCAGGTTAAATTGTCAATAATTTTGTTTCATGTCATAAAATCTTGCTTTGGCTGTGTGTTTCCAAAGATGAGATTTTTCATACTCAGCTGGTTGCCCTGATGTCAGCATATGTTTTCAAGGACTGACTCAGTCATGTAGAGTGGACCTGATTTTTTAAAAAATCTAGTTCACATTATATTACTCCTGCAAATATTCTCATGTATTTTTATGATTTTTCTTTTAAGAGGCCATAATCCCAAGATTTGAAGACAAGAATGTGCTTTGGAAATTTAAGGCAGCCACCCTGTTCACGTATTTGACTCATAAATGAAGTTATGGCAGTGCAGGTGGCATATGTTTGAGAGATGAAACTGATGGTTGTGTAATACCTGCTCACTTGTTTTTAAGATTCTTTTACTGATGATGTTGCAGCTTCCATATGCTATACCTCTGACACCCACAGCGCAGGGATTATGGCAATAACACATGAGCTTAATTTTTAATCCAGTGTTGCACCTGGTCTTTTAATGTAAGTATTTCTTTACCTTTTTTGAGAGAAAATTTTCCAGGTCTGGGAGGGCTCATCATAAAATTAAGGTTTGGAGGTTATAGCCTCCATCTTTATTATATTTCTTGTTACAGAAAATAAAGTCTAAATTCTAAAATGTTCAAAGAGAAATACAGAGCTTGCTCTTACACCAATACTAGTCCCTTGGGGGTAACCCAAATAAACACTTTGATATGCATCCTCTTTGAAAAAATTTAATTGATGTCTAGTCTCAACAATTGAAGGGTTTATCACCAAAAGATATATTGACTCAATAGATTACAGAAAAAAGATTTTGTACTGGGAACGATAATAGCTCTTTAGTGAGGTATCTTTTAATGTGCATGTCCAATTTTCAAGCTGTGATTAAAAATAAAAAATCAAATAAAAAATAACAGTAAAATTCTTCTATAGAAAAACATGTAGTATCTCTGTTCCAATAATTCTCCATTCCAGAACCAGTCAGTAAAGTTATTGATGTTGTTTTATTTTTTGTTGTTCCAGGTTTACTCAATCAGACACACATAGATACAAGTTTCCAGGAGAGAAATAAAGATTTTGTGTCTCAGAAGTTTAGAGAAGAGGTATATGACCTTTATGAAGAATATTTTCATTAATAAGTTTACATAAGTGAAGCATTTGCATATTTTTATCTACTCTTTAAACACTTCAACCAAAACAGGTATTTGTTTAGCAAGATTGTATCACACATGTGGGCCAACACATCTAGCTCTGTTCAGTGTCTCTGCAACACCTCTCCATATATCTCAGAAGAGGGTCACCAGGGTCTCTTCAGTACAAAATGAATGCACAGAGGTATGCAACAGGAGCCTGAGTTAACCAAGGACAAATGCAAGGTAGGGTCCCTAAACCCTTTTCCAATTCCTTCACAATTGAGTATAGAAGTTGCCTTGAATGAGGAGCTTTCCATGGTCCTCAGGCCTGGGTTAATTGTCCCTCCTATGTTTCCATGGTACCCTTTGCACATGAAACATTTTATTGTATTACAATTGCAGGTTACTTGAATTTCTAAATAGCCCTTTGAGGGTAGAGGTGACATCTTTTGCTGCTGTTGTTGCATTTTTTGTATTCTTGTTTATTCTATTATAGTTATCCCAATTTTTCCCCCTTTGCCCTCCTCCATTCAGCCCTGCTCCACTCCCATAGTCCATCCCCACAGCATCGTTCATATCCATGAATCATTCACACATTGAAAGTAGAGGTTACATCTTACTCATGATTGTCTCCCCATGTCCTAGCACATTTCCTAACATGCAGTGGTCTCTCCATAAGTGCCTATCAAAGGAATAAACACATAAACACATGAATAAATGTTTACTAAATCTTTCATCCCCATCAATGGCTTCTAAACTCCAGCTCCAAAGCTGCATTAATGGTCGATGCCAGTAACACACTCAAGGAGCCTCGCTTGCTTTTTTCTAAGGCACAGCTCAGTTGTCACTACTTTTGTGATGCTTAGAAATATTTTCCTGAGATATGGATTGAGAAGCTAGGCCTGATAACCCTTGACACTCTTCTAAATAGGCATATTAGGAATTGGAGGAGGTAGACTTCTGGCCAAGATGGAGATGTAGATACATATGCTTTGCCTCCTTGCACAACCCATAGAAGGACAACAGTAAATTTAAAAACAACACAACCTGGACTACCAGAAAATCAGACTGTATGAAAGTCTCACAACCAAGGAGTTAAAGAAACATTCATCCAGACTGGTAGGAGGGACTGAGATGGGCAGCCGGGGTGGAGAGGACTCACAGCAAGACAGCAGCTGGAGGACTGGGCAGGCCAAGTGGTGGCTAGAGGGCCGGGCGGTCCCATGTCTGCCTGAGGATAAACTAGGAGGAACAGCTGGAGAACTAGACAGACCACACAAACCAGGGTTCCAGTGCAGGAAAAGAAAGCGTCAAAACCTCTGGCTGTAAATATCTGTGGGGCTTGTGGTGGTAGGAGAAACTCTCAGCCTCACAAGAGAGTCCATTGGAGAGACACAGGGTCCCAGAAGTACACACACCCACCTGCCTGGGAATCAGCACCAGCAGGGCCCAATTTGCTTATGGGTAGAGGAAGGGAGTGACTAAAAGCTAGCTGAGAGCCAGAACAAGTGGCATTGTTCCCTCTCACACTCCTCCCCGACATATAGCACCACAACACAGCGAGGTGAGTTACCCCACCCTGGTGAATACCTAAGGCTCCACCCCTTACAATGTAACAGGAGCACCAATACAAAGAAATATGGCCCAAATGAAAGAACAGATCAAAACTCCAGAAAAAATACAGCTAAGTGAAGAAAAGCTAGCCAACCTATCACATGCAGAGTTCAAAACACTGGTAATCAAGATGCTCACAGAAATAGTTGAGTATGGTCGCAAAGTAGAGGAAAAAGTGAAGGCTATGCAAAGTGAAATAAAGAAAAATACACAGGGAACCAAGAGTGAAGGGAAGGAAACCAGGACTCAAAGCAACGATTTGGAGCTGAAGGAAGAAATAAACATTCAACCAGAACAGAATGAGGAAACAAGAATTCAAAAAATGAGAGGCTTAGGAACCTCTGGGACAACTTTAAACGTTCCAACATCTGAGTCATGGGGGTGCCAGGAGAACAGAAAGACCAAGAAATTGAAAATTTATCTTAAAAAATAATGAAGGAGAACTTCCCCAATCTGGCAAAGGAAATAGACTTCCAGGAAGTCCA